AGATCTAGTCTGGGCCTCCACAGAGAAAGCTGACAGTAAAATTCACTGTCTTGTACTACTCTTTAGGTTAACTTTGGTGACTAGAGAAAGGCCTGGTATAAATGACCAAGAAAGAAAATTCTGAGTTGAAAAGACCCTATGGTTCATACACCTGAGTTGTAAGGCACAGAGAAATCAGAGGAACTGAGGTAGAAGCTTCCTTTCTGCTGGGCTTGTGGGAATGTGCTGCACAGGATGCTGGGAGAGTGAAGACATCAGCAGTCTTCCAAGCCATGAACCCTATAATCTGCAACACCAACCTGCCAGGCAAGATGTGTCGACCTGTGCAACAGTGCCATGGCTGGTTATGGGGCAGGTAACCAACTGATCTCTGCTTGGACTCGAGACTCAAGTCCTCCACAGGAAATAATTAATATTTTGGTATTGTAAATCTACTTTAAAAGCTATGGTGGAGGAAGTTTTAGGCTCAAGGGAGAAACTTACTATTGACACAGGTAAATTGTTCTGGTGCCAAGCCTCCTTCTAAATATTTATATTCATAGGTAAATTCTACTCCCAGACCTATTAGTAAGCTTCTCTTAGCAATAAATGGCAGTGAATGAAGTGTTGTGGCTATTCAAGGTGATGAAAATAACTGACAGGTAAGTGACTAGTCCTCATCTGGACATTTATACCAATCCCGCTAAGGCGTAGAGATTATGGCAGAAGAGGAAGAGGGAAGAAGGGAGAAGGGGAAATATTGCCTTTTCAATAAATCCCTACTGATGGATGCTCGGGGAAGGGCAGCCATTGTCTTCAGCTGTATACCCACCAAGGAGTCCACCAGGCTTCAGTAGATAATTACAAACCCATGGTCACAAAGATAACCCTGGTTAAACTCGGTAAGTTCAACAGAAAAACAATGTTTGAAAGTGAACTGTCAGAAGAAGTGGGGCTAACAGGGGCGGGAGGGAGATTAGAAGGTGTGGCTACAGCGCCAGAACACACTTTAATGCATGCATGAAACTATCAATGAACAAATGCAATAAAAGCTAAAGAACGCAATAAAAACACCAAATGACAAAGTTCTCTATAAACACGGTAGTTTTCACTACTGGCCCTTCACAGGCTCTATCTGTAGAGAGTCCTACGGGATTAACCACTACACTGAAAGAGCCAAGACATTTTCCAAGACAAGAGTGCTCACAGGAGCATTTTCACCATGTTCTAAGATCCTACTAAAATGGTTTTTGACCTCCTTTGGCCAACAGCCATTTAAATCAATAATATACAATAAGCTCCTGAATGTTTAAGCAAATACGATCTAGTGTACCTAAGTCCTGACACAGTTTATGCAACTGTATGATCATGCTAGCAAAGCATTATAAAAAGCTAGTGATGCGAGAAGGGTTACCTTTGCTGTTTGTTTGAACCAGTATTGACTATGTTCAACATAACTGAGGAATTTATTAGTATAATTTTATTAGTGTAATTCACGTAGAGAGTAGTCTTCTTCTTGAATCCAGCAGCTATTCTTAGAAATGTAGAAAACAAAGTTAACTGATACTCATGAGAGGCACTGACATCTAAAATGACCACAGAATCATTTACTTTAGGTAAATTAAAGCTTCAATGGTCTTACTGCTCTGTCTTTCCACACTAATTACAGAAGTCATAATCAAGGACTATAAAAGCAGATTATATACATTTATATGTCTATGGATAAATCTGTTTCTGCCTATGAAGAAATCATCTCTGGGCTTGCTTATAACATGACCTAGATCATACATACATACATATGTACCCCACTCTAACTCTTATGTTAATACCTTAATCTTAAATGTGATGGTGGGGACTTTCAGAGGTTAAGATGACAAGAAAATGAGACATGATTTTCCTGGACTCTACAAGGGCATAGCAAGGGGGCCATCTTTTCCAGGAACCAAAATATATGGTGCTTTGAACTTGGGGCTTTCTAGACTTCCACACGCAGTCTTTGGATTTAAGGCTTCATGCAATTACAAACCCAGAACTAACCATAAGCTGGGAGGTTGTAATAGACAATACAGCTACAACATCCTTCTATATGTTGCTTAGGATGACTATAAGAACACCAGCGCCAGCAAGTACTAGGCTCTGGAGTCAGTCTCCAGTGCCAAGGGTGAGAGATGGGGAGAGAGAGGAAGAAGTCTAACTGGAAATTCCCTTAAGTCCAATGGTGGGTTATCCTGCAGCCCTTTTGGTCTTTAACACCAAAATGCATAGTTCCACAGTCACACTTTTTCTTTACCCAATACCCGAAATTCTAATTTCTATTTAGATAGTAAACAGTTAGAACTATGCATACACACATAGTAAGAAAATAGAGAACAATTTTTAGCTTATGCTGAACACTACATTTTATCACTTTCATGCTAACCATTACAAAAAATAAAACCACTCATCTCTACATGTATTTATTTTTGTGTCACTGGGGTTAGAGATGAGGCTCTGGCAATGTTGCACAAATTCTCTACCATAGAGTTATAGCTCCATCCCTACAGTTCCATTACTCAATAAAAACAAGCAAATAAAATCCCAGGTAGACATAGGCAAACTTTTTTTTTCCTGCTAGAGTGATTATACTTACACTTCTTTGGAAAGATATTTTATTCCTATAAGACTTTTAGAAATCTGATAATAAAAAAATCCTATAAATATGATAGAGCCTCATTCAATGAGACCAGAGACACAGGAAAGGAACCTTTAACAACGAACCACTTGCCTGATCCAGAAACCTGGATATGTGTGAGTTGTGGAAACCCAAGTATGTGCTGAAGCAAATGCGCTTGTATTATAAATTATATCCTGTTTGCCTATATCAGTTAATAAACTGGTATTTTCTAGGTTGTGTCTTTAGCAACTCAACTAGAATTTGACATGAGCAAGGTTTAACAAGACTAGGGACAAGGTGGGTCTCGGGACTGATACTAGGTCTCAAGGACCCCAGTCACCTTGTAATCATCTAATGCACTCTGGAAACCCTCTTGTGTTTTCAAGGCTATCCAAACTTTTGACAGAACAGATGTACACAATGTTACCAAGAGTAATCTGCCTCCCCCTCAGAAACAATATATAACACTTCAGGAAATTATGAAAGCATGAACAGTCTCACACTACATGCGTTTTACTTAGTGGCCCTTCCCTGTCTTCAGTCATTATCACATTATGAAACAGTTGTTACGTAAGTCTTTCCCAGAACCTTTATATTCCAGTCTGCCAATTAGACTAGAATATCAGCATGCAGAGATTCTTATTGGTATGAAAAAAGGAATATCCTTTAAGATATATTGTCTACTAGAAACTACAGGTTGTACAGACCTGGGTGTAGTGTTATATGTTTATAATCTTAGCACTCTGGAGGCTGAGACAGGGGGGATCACAAGTCTGTGGTTGGCCTGGGCTACATAGTGAGACTCTGTCTGAAAACCAGACATTGTTCATATACAATGTCTCTTGTTCAAATAACAAGGTAGATTCCAGCTTCTATTATGTAGCGCAGCAGTGGTTTAGGCCAGATGTCAGTTTTTGGTAGCTAAGTCCAGCACTGGCAGGGCATGTGCGTTGTTATGGTGGTCCTAGTGAGCAATGCCTACGACCCAGGGATAACTGTAGGGACGAAGCTAAAATACCAGATATCTTAAGGATGAAAGGGTTGAAGGAATAATGGAAGTAAGTGTACATCTGATCTCTGACTGGCTGGCTGATGACCTAGAGTGTACCAGGAAGTCCTCACCATGCAGAGTGGCTTTCGTGTCTAACAACGGTACTGATCCAGAAAACATGGAACACTTTTTGTCTCTATGAAATAATATAAAATGACTACTGGGAAATAATATAAAATGACTACCTTATAAAGAGAAGTATGCTTCTTTTCCTCCACTGAAGAACGTTTAGGCAAAAAGGAATGGATCCTTGGGAGCACTGACAGGGCTCCTTTTTCACGATCCCTTTAAATTCTCACAGGAGATCAGAAGGGTTCAACTTTCTCCTCTCTGAACTGCAGATGTGCAGGATACAGTGAAGGAGACAGAGGTGGGTGGGTGTGGGCACCAAAAGGACTATAAAGACACCACCACCACATAGGAACCATAACACTTTGACCTTAATTCAGGAAGAAACTGTTAAAATGGGTAACGGATGTCGTTAAACGGTAGTACTGTAGGTGAGCAGGAAGAAAACCTACAAAGCAGTAAGTGATCAGAGGGTTGGGGTGGGATATTTAGTGCCCCATCCCCAAATACAGCTCAGTCACTCAAAAGGTACCAAGGCCCATGGAATGCCTTACAGAATTCCTTTACATATATTAGTCTCATAACATTACTGAAGACACCCTGACACCCAATTCCCTCAAAGCCTCTGCATCCTGGAACAGCCAAGTTCTTTCTAAACACTATCTTCATGTTACCTCTGTGAGGTAGGTTGTATTATTCCAGTTTTTATCTATAAATAAACTAAGGCACATAGAGTCTGTGTGGCAAAGATTTTCTAGAAAGTGACGTATTAGGTCTTTGGATTTGGGTACTATTATATACCTCTACTCTACTGATGTAGGCAACTCAAGAGACACCGAGCCAACACATTCATTTACGACTCTGAGAAGACAGCAGTGTGGTCAGGAATGGAGTCTTAGGAAACGCTCTTTACTTAGGAGTGCTGTCAGCACATACATTCTTTTGATAAGGAGACCAATCACATGATTATAGAAGAAGTTGAAGATACAGTCTTTGTGGTCCCCACACTGCTGAGCCCAGAACAGTGTCCATCTTAACAAAGCACACAACCCAGGAAGCACTTACACCTCACTCTCACCTTGTGCCACCAAACTGCAAGCCCTGTGTTTTGCTGAAGATTTTTATAGTTTCACCCAGATACATTTCTATAGCCTTGGTCCTGGACAATTCTATATTATTTATAATCAGTTCGTCTGTATAAAATGTAAATGGTATTAAAGCCAGGGTTTGAGGGAAACAATGCATCCATTCAGCATTCATTGGTTGTATATATTTTGAGAAACTTAGATACACAAAGGAAGCGTGCACTGTTTAGGAGACACTGAACAATGTTGGTGGCCTGGGTAACGGAGAGTCCAGAGTGTGCACTGTCAGAGATGATGTAAGCAAGGTTGGTGGCCTGGGTAACAGGGTCCAGAGTCCAGGAAACTGAAGACACTCAAAAGTTGACCCCCAGTTTCTATTAATGCTCTATAAATGAACATTTCCATTTGATACAAATATACAAATTTAAAATGTATGCAGTTCAGTATGGCCTACCAGTTTCAGAGTGTTTATGTGCCAGAAAATATATAGTCAATAAAAAAATACCAGAGAGGTGGGGACAAAAGCTCTCTGGATCTGTACAGCAAAAATGAACATCACTTCAATAGGTGGAGAGTTGTGGTGAAATGGAACTCCGTGACCGAGAAGGACTGGAAAGGTGGCAGGTCACAAATCTGGTGATGGAGGGTAGGATGCAAAATAAGGCCCATTTTCCTGTGGAGAGAAGAAAAGACAGGTCATTAAGCAACAGGGCAATTTAAGAGGATGTGCAAGGCAGGGACATGCAATGAATGGAAAAGAGCCTTGGAAAGGCGCAGCATGTGTGCGGTGCTGAGCAGTCTCACTGGGGTGTGTCACACTGGGGTAAAGTACGGAGAAGTACGGGATGACAATGTGCTCCAGTAACAGCATCACTTCGGAACATTCTAGGTGCTGGACTACCTCCAGGCTCCTTGTTTCCACTGCCCCTCAAGTGCTCACATGATGTCAGGAGACAGGTAACATACTGACAAGGAAAATGAAGCACACACAGATTACATAACTCAACTCATGTACTTGCTAAGTAACAAGCTGAGCTTACATTTAAAGATAAGTTTGTCTTGACGCTGGATTCTTGTTCGATGGTGTTACCCTCCCATTCTGATTCTTCGTTTAGTTATGGAACAATAAAAATGATTTCTGAGGAATTTAGTGGCCATCACTGTTTGGCAGCAGGCATCTTCATGTCACGCCCGGGTGGCAAGGCTTGTAACGATCACAGTTCTCAGGCCATTTAGCTCCACGTCAAGATGGAAAATTAAATGCCAGAAGCTTAATGTCAAATGTTGAAGGCAACCAACTAGTGTGAGAAATTCTTTGGCCCCACTTTGGATGATCGTGGTTAAAAACAAGGCAGCTAACTTTATGGTAGGAGGATCCTAGATTAGATTTATGAGTTGTAAGACCAGAGTCTCACTTTCAGGAAAAATATTTCTTTGGCAAACAACTTGTTTTTAAGTAAGCCACAAACAAGAAATGCTTACCATTAAAATAAGGCACCGGGGGCCAGGCGGTGATGGCACACGCCTTTAATCCCAGCACTTGGGCAGGTCTCTGTGAGTTTGAGGCCAGCCTGGTCTACAAGAGCTAGTTCCAGAACAGGCTCCAAAGCTACAGAGAAACTCTCTCTCGAAAACCAAAAATCAATCAATCAATCAATCAATCAAACAAACAAAAAAAAAGAAAGAAAAGAAAAAGGCACCTGGTGCTGGTGGTGCACACCTTTAATCCTAACACTTAGGAGGCAGAGACATGTGGATCTCATTGAGTTAGAGATAAGCCTGGTCTACAGAGCAATTTCTGGCCTAGGACTATTATGTAGAGAAATTCTGTCTCAAAAAAAAAACATAAACAAACAAGCAAATAAAAATAAGGTAAGGCAGCAGTCAGGAGGGAAGAGAGGAGGAAGTAGGTTGTTCTAGAGCATTTACCTTACAGCTACAGGAACAATAAGTAGACCTGATCTTGAACCCAGTGGACAATTTTATGTTATCAGAGCCAAAATGAGCCAAGAGCTCAGCTGTTCTTCAGAGCAGATGCTCTGAGCAGGAACTGACCCTGGTGGCATAGGCAGGAAATCAAAAGGTCATCTAAGAAGACTTTCTGATAATAAGCAAATCTGACCAGGTATGGGAGAAAAAAGAAAATAGAAATAAATCTCAGAATTGGCTACATTTCGGGAAACTTGAGAGAAAAGTTTGCATTTAGCTTGTCTATCATGATCTGTAATCTAGGCAGTTCTGCATTTTTAATATGCAGAAAGTAATGCCTCAAGAAACAGAGCCCAAAGAGAAATCTATTCTGAACACTTCTGCAAGGGTTCTCTTCTATTCTCTTATGCTAGTTTCCAAAGATTCTCATATCTGCATTGATTTTTGTGGCAAACTAATGGGACATGCCTGATCTGAAATGCCATGAAACAGAGCTTCCTACATTAACTTCACACTGTTCAGGAGATCACTGGGCCATCAACTAGCTTCTCTATTTCTGGCAACAATTACAGTAATTTAAAGAATTCTCCCCGGTCAAAATGACATACTTTGATTTTATTTGTAAGAATGCTGACTTGCTCTTTGCTGGAAGTTGCTGCAGTATTATTTTTATCTAGGTAAAAATTACCTTTCAACTACTTTTCAAAGGTCCCTTTCAATCTTATAGAAACTGTTGGCTTCCGAAATGCAGAAATCTTTGAAATGGTTTTTTAAGTCCACTGAAACTGATACCAATCAACATCAATTCAGTCCTTTACCAAATAAAGAACCTATTATGTGTTATCAAGTGTAAGGCACAAACTGAACATAAAGTATGCCAACTCTGTACTCCTTTTTTCCAGTCATGGTTTAAATTCTCCTTACAAACCAGCATCCAGCCACCTCCTGGTGTCTCAGGTCCACATCCCATAAACTCTGTGCTGCAAACTGAACACACTACCCGAACCTTTCCCAAGTCTCTCAAGACTTTCCCTCGCATTGCTTCTCTGCGGTAATAGAAACACCATCCATCAAAATCACTTGCTTCTCCTTCATCTCCCACGGCTACTTATCTCCAAATATCACAGCTCAAATACCTCCTAACTCCAAACCCTTGTCACTCCCAGTCCTCCGGTCTCAGCTGAGGCAAGGCCCACAGACTTGCCTCTCTCTTCCTCACGCTGTGCTCTTCCGCGTCCACACTGGTCTCTGCACAGGAATGTAAGGGCAGAACACTCGCCATTGACAGTGAAGCATGCAGAGTGGCAGATGTCATGCTCTACCCTCTGCCTGTCCCTGAACACTGTCTCCTCATACCCTAACCCGTTGATTTTTATGCCTGTCATCAGTCATAGACAGATGGTATAGTATCTTCATTCTAAAAATTCTAGCATAGGTAGAGAGACGGTTTAATGAGTCAACTGTCAGATTAGAAGTTCTTCTTCCTTTTGACACTGATCCTGTCATTGTGTCCTTTTGGATACTCAACTGAAATCTAAAACACAAGCAAAACAAAAGCAGGCTCGAGTCTGGTGGGATAATCTTTCTGTATTTGCAGGAAAAAATTATACATTTAGATGGTAGTTAAGAAATGCCATTCAAATTTTGGGTCTCCAAATGTTCTTTTGTGCCTTTTACACTTCCTGCTGTTAATTCAAGTGTGACAAGTGGAGTTCAAGGCAAATAATAGTCAGCCTTTACTTCAGCAATTTTTACGTAAATACAAACTGAGGGAGCCTTTCCCCTTCCCAAATACTGAATAATCTTTGTTCTATGATTCAGCTGCTCCCATTGCAAATCCTCTCTGTGCAACAGCCGAATGTGAGGCTGTACTAGCTGTTAGAGCACATTAAATGTTTTGCTTCACAAACACTGAGAGAAACAATTAATAAATGAAACTTCCTGAAACTGAAAAGTTTCTGTAAAGCAGAGGACATGTCAACAAGACAAAATGACAGCCTACAGAATGGGAAAAGATCTTCACTAACCCCACAACAGATAGAGGTCTGATCTCCAAAATATACAGAGAACTCAAGAAATTGGTCACTAAAAAACACATAATCCAATAAAAAAAATAGAGTACAGACCTAAATAGAGAATTCTCAACAGAGGAATCTAAAATGGCTGAAAGACACTTAAGGAAATGTTCAACATTTTTAGTCATCAGAGAAATGCAAATCAAAACAACTCTGGGATTCCATCTTACACCTGTAAGGATGAACAAGATCAAAAACACTGATGACAACTTATGCTGGAGAGGTTGTGGGGAAAAGGGAACACTTCTGTATTGCTGGTGGGAATGCAAGCTGGTCAACCCTCTGGATGTCAGTGTGGCGATTTCTCAGAAAATTAGGAAACAACCTTCCTCAGGACCCAGTAATACCATTTTTGGGTATATATCCAAAGGATGCTCAATGGTGCCACAAGGACATGTGCTCAACTATGTTCATAGCAGCTTTGTTTGTCATAGCCTGAACCTGGAAACAACCTAAATGCCCCTCGACCAAAGAATGGATACGGAAAATGTGGTACATTTACACAATGGACTACTACACAGCAAAAAAATAATGACATCTTGAATTTTGCTGGCAAATTGATGGAGCTAGAAAACATTATTTTGAGTGAGGTAACCCAGACCCAGAAAGACAATTATGTGTACTCACTCATAAGTGATTTTTAAACATGAAGCAAAGAAAACCAGGCCAAAAATCACAAATCCAGAAAACCTAGATAACAATGAGAACCTTAAGAGAGACATACATGGATCTAATCTACATGGGAAGTAGAAAAAGACAAGATCTCCTGAGTAAATTGGGAGCATGGGTTCCTTGGGAGAGAGTTGAAGGAGAGGGGAGAGGCAGGAAGGGGAGCAGAGAAAAATGTAGATATCAATAAAAAAATCAATAAAAAAATTTAAAAAAATGTTTTGCTCGCCACATAAGGGGACTAGAAGCCATCACTGAAACTGGAGAACCCGTAGAGAAAGGTGTCCTGCATGACCTCTGTTTGAAGGTACACAACATACTGTACAACAATCAGGGAGAATACCTCAAACTCAATATTACTTTCCAGTACGTCCTCTGGCTCATGCATAGAGATACATAATCAGCAACAGTTAGATAAGGTGCTTGGTTGACTTTTGGCAAAGTTCTCAAAAAATATTATAAAGGTGATGCTGTGAATATACGCCATAGAAAAGAACTTTAGTGAGGTTTAGGAGAGCCGTGATTCAGCAACAGATCTATGAATGCACCTATAAATGACATCACTAACACGGTAGATGCATTAAAACCATTACTATAACCTTCAGAAAATACATCTTGTAACTGGGCAGAGGCTACAGAGATAGGTAGGCTGCCTGACAATGTATGCTGCAAGTGGACAGCAATCCAACCTGGCTTTTCATAGAGCTAAAAGGCCTAAGTCTTAAGAAAAGTGACAGAAACTATATCTACACAACCAAATACCAGCTTTAAATTCATGGCTGAAAAACCCTCTTGGGATAAGGACTTTTCCTAAGGCGTTGTGTGAAAATACTAAATTATTATTCCAAAGCTCACAGCTGCTGCACTGCAGCAGTTCCCATACTCACATGCCTACACCCGCAGTATGTTCACACACTCACATGCTTACACCTGCAGCAGTTCACACACTCACATGCTTACACCCGCAGCACTTCACACACTCACATGCTTACACCCGCAGCATGTTCACACTCACATGCCTACACCCGCAGCATGTTCACACACTCACATGCCTACACCCGCAGTATATTCACACACTCACATGCTTACACCCGCAGCAGTTCACACACTCACATGCTTACACCTGCAGTGTTCCCACACTCACATGCTTACACCTGCAGCAGTTCACCCACTCACATGCTTACACCTGCAGCAGTTCACACACTCACATGCTTACACCTGTAGTGTTCACACACTCACATGCTTACACCTGCAGTGTTCACACACTCACATGCTTACACCCGCAGCAGTTCCCACACTCACAAGCTTACACCCGCAGCAGTTCACACACTCACATGCCTACACCTGCAGTATGTTCAGACAGTCACATGTTTACACCTGCAGCAGTTCATACACTCACATCCACATGCACTCACAGGTGCTGCTCTGTCACACGTTCACACACTCACACGCTCCCAGCTGCTGCTCTGCAGCATATGTTGTGTCTCAGCACACTGCACACACAGGAGTGTATCTATACATAAATGAGGCAAAGCTCTGTGAAGCAGCCTCCTTACTATGCAGGTAGCATATAACACACTCAGATGCTCACACCCGCTGCTCTGTAACACACTCACACAGCACACAGGCAAGGAGAACAGGCACTTACCCTGGCATCGTATTCAAGGACAAAAGGAGGAAAGTCTATCTGCTCTGGTGATATGGCAGAGAAGAGCTGGTGCAGGCTGTCTATGTGGTGTACTTTGTCCTTCAATCCTGAGACAGAAAAGGTGGTGAAAAACCATGTTGAGACCTGATTAATAGGAGAGAAAAATAATTTAAGCCAGTAGCCACCATTGAGAATAGATACACTTTTGAAATTTTATACTAAAGTCTGCAATTTCAAAATATTTGAAATTGAACAATAGGAGTTTTTTAAAGTACAGTTTGTAGTTCATTAGTGAGTTGCACAATAATGTCATAATTACAAGGAACATTTATAAAAAGCGAGAACAATGACATTGGGACTATAATAAGGAGGCTGTTTCACAGAACTCTGGCTCAGTGTATGCACAGTATGAGGAGACACAACATAAGCTTCCGTCTCTTGACTGAAGGTATGTGCAATTCATACCTGCTGGGAAAGGGAAAATGGAGGTCACTGGTTACATCAACACTCCAGGGCAGGGCCCATGCCAGGAGTCATTGGCTAACACAAAATGGACTCCATGGCTTTTGTGTACTTCTTGTTTTATTTTTTGTTTGATTCCCGTTTGGTTTGGTTTTTCATGTTGGAGAGGGGGAAGGAGAAAGAAGGGAGCACAAGGATGGACAGGTAGCGAGGATCTGGGAGGAGGTGGGGAGAACATGATTAAAATGTATTGTCTGAACAAAGGCTCTCTGTTATTTGGTATAATAGTCAGTATTTTGGTACAGTAGGTTAATAGACTGCAATTTTTTTTTGTTTGATTGTTTCCAAAGATATTTTCACTTGGTAACTGCCATATGGTCTCTGTTGAAGCCAATCAAAGCAGTGTGTGCATGTGTGTGTACATGAACATATACAAGGGACTTTTCTTCAGCCATAAAGAAGAATGAGATTATGCCATTTTTAGAAAAATTGATGGAAATAGAGATTATGATGTTAAGGAAAATAAGCCAGCCTACAAAGACAACATTACACATTTTCTCTCCTGCGTAGAATCCATATATAAAAGGGAAAGAAGACATTAAGGTAGGAAGTGGCTATTTGGGAAGACGAGAGGCAATGCAATGGGAGAGGAAGTCTAAGAAAAACTAATGGGACTGAATATGATCTAGGTGTGTTGTATACGTGGATGAAAATGAAACTTGCCCCCTTTGTTATAACTATGCTTTGATTGTTTTTAAAGCTAGAAAACAAGTGAATCTCTCCTTTAAGTTACTTTACAAAATGTAAGTGAAAGGGTTTGTCAGTTTGGGAAAAAAAAAATCAAACCAGAAAATTCCTGGTAGCAAGTGGTATTTCTGATATCGAGACATACAGTAGATAAAAGGTAATACAAGTTATATGTTATTTATCTATCTGAATTTTATCAGCAGGTTACACAACAGTCCAATGAGGTGGGTGTGATGATGTTGTTATTCCTATTTACAAAAGATGGAAACAGATGCACACAAGCTTTCAGTAGAATGCCTACTACATAATTCCTTCACACTTACTTGTAAAATAAGATCCGTAACAGACAACATTGGACTAAGTCATCACTATGTCAAGTCTATTCAAATTTCCCAAATTGATACAGGTGTCACCTTTTATTTCTTGCTTACTGCTCTCACCTATCCCCTCTGTGGATCCTTCTATTTTCCCATTTAAATCTCACTTTCAGAAACCCAAGACTTGATCCTCCATTCTAGTATTTCAGTTACATTCATTTCTGTAATTTCTCTGGTTTTTAGAAGACAATCCTAGAATGGCAGTATAAAATTGTGTAGGTATCTACAGAGTTGGGTTCCAAGCACTTGCTAAGGATGAACGAATATCAAGGCCTAGTTTATGATGGTCACTGAGCACTGGGTCATTATTGATGTTAACACGTGCTATCGCACACCCTTTCCTGTGTTAACATGTGCTATCGCAACCCTTTCCTGTGTTAACATGTGCTATCGCAACCCTTTCCTGTGTTAACATGTGCTATCGCAACCCTTTCCTGTGTTAACATGTGCTATCACACACCCTTTCCTGTGTTAACATGTGCTATCGCAACCCTTTCCTGTGTTA